CACACACTTACATCTAGCCAGACTATTCCTTATGATTTTCAACATGAATGCACTTTCTACTTTTTCAGCTTGTGTCTAGTTTCTATTAGAGTTTAAGGCTTTTTTTCCCTATCATCTCTTTTAGTCATTGTTTGAAAAACAGATGAGTAAAATGTTGCTGGATATAACTGTTGTGTATTATGCAAGGCAGGAGTTACACACCGATTTTTCTTTCACCTTTTGTGTTCACACTGTGCCTCGCTCACGCTTGCTGAGGGAATCTCTGTGGCAGAGTAGCTTATGTGGAACCTGAGTTCCACTTTTGGCTTTAAATCTTGGATGCATGCCTTAGCTCCCAGGATGTTCTTCAAATGCAAAGCACCATTATTACAATGAAGGCATCAACTTATTTAAATTGTTGACTATTGTGGCAAAGTACTTTCCATTTCCTGCAACTTGTGTTTCTTTTGAATATACCTCATATCCATGATTTTTTTTAATTGTGAAAAATATGAAGTTTCATGTACCTTCTTACATTTTTAGTATTCAGGATATTTTTCTCACACTTCTTTCTTTAAATGTCTGTTGAAGTCTCCATGAGAAACCATGAGACACACTTTCCCATAAAAGAGAGAGAGAATTATGTTCAGCATCCCTGTGCTATCTCATATAGCATGGACTTCATATTACATACTCAATATTTTGCCATTTTGGACTTGACATTATTATTTCACATTTATTTAATTTCATTGTGCTTGTCAGTGAGAAAGGGTAATCAATGTCTATTGGAAGGATAAAAAGGTTTTTATTTTGTTTTTTTTTTTTTTTCCAATATATGGATGTTTTGCTTGCATGTATGTGTACTACTTGAATGCTTGGTGCCCATAAAGGTCAGAAAAGGTCATCAGATCCTCTGGAAATAGAATTACAGATGGGTTGTGAGCCACCATATAAGAGCAGAGAATCGAACCCCAGGCCTCAGGAAGAGCAGCCAGTGCTCTTAACCACTGGGTCATCTCTCCAGCCCGGGAAGATATTTTTATTTAGCGGGTTCTGAGTCCAGCCAGCACATCAAAGAAAATAGCAATGCTCAAAGGTTACTTGAATTACTCATGCAGAAATTATGTGTGGGGAAAATATAAAGTGGAGTGAAGGGGTGGGGGGGATGACAGAATTTTCTTCTGCTTCTTTTCTGATATTAAGAAAATTATGTGTTTATTGAGTTTTCCTGAAATGAATAAATATGATGGCTGCAAGGTCATTTAACATAGTGTCCAACACACAATAGTTGCTCAATAAATACTAATTTATTTGTTTTAATGTGATGTACTATGTAATTATAAGATCTTGCCTTTATACCTATCTGCATAATCCACTGTCCTATTTTCCTTTTAGTCATTTTTATCTCAAGAACAAGCTGCATGGATTTTATTTCTTAATCTGTAAAATGGGCTGGGAGAGTAATTGCATAAGACAAGGATGTCAGGGCAGCATTTTCCTCAAATCTCTTCTGTGGTTTAAGATGTCTTGAGGGATTGTTAAGTGAACTACTAAAAAAGAAAAAAAAAAGAAGAAGAAGAAAAGGAAAGGGAAAAAAAAGATGATCTTTATCTATCTTTACTGGTGCAATAAAAAACTTAACTGCAATAAAAAACTTAACAGCACATTTTGTGACTGTCATTTAGAAGTCACTCAATTCATAACTGGAATGCCACAAAAACAACTCCCTGTTAGCCCAGAGGGAAAAAAAAAAAAGAAAGAAAGTAAAGGGGAAATTCAGATTAGTCACATAGAAGTTCCCCCGCCTGCAAAATCTGCAGAGTTAAAACTGAGAGAGTCTGGCCCACTCCTTCAATCGCCTTTTGTCTCAGGTTCTGGGACCTTTGTCTATCTTCTGACCCACAGGCTTGGCTTTGCCCTTATCCTCTGTGTGGTAAAGACCAGTCTTCCCCAGGTTCCCCTTCGCCACATCTGCATCTTCTCTGCACCGGGACTGTGAAGATGGAAGTCGAAAGGGTTCAACCTCTGGATGAGAATCTGGAAAATGGATCAAGGCCAAGGTTCAAGTGGAAGAAGCTATCAATGGTGGTCTCTGGGATTCAGGGAGTGGGGCTACTCCTGTGCCTGGTCTACATCTGCCTGCACCTCTATCCTTCTCCGGTAAGATGCACCAGTGGGTGCTACTTTTCCTCCAGCTGTTGCTGAATGGCAGTTACAACAGCTGCAGTCACCTGGAAATAATTGAACGCTGAAACTGTTGAGGGCCCTGCCACCGCCGTCAGGTGACTGTAAAGTGTGGTCAAATACCCTTTGGTGTCTCCTTTCCTTCCTATTTCAAAAGGAGCAGTGTTAGGGCAGACTGAAGGGCAGAGAGACCCTGCTCTAGATTTTTTTTTTGTCTTTTTCTTTGTAATGCAAAAATCCCAATGTGTCTTGATGAGCTGTCACCCTGAAGCTTTGGGTCACTGATTTGTCTATTCATCCTGGTGGCTACGTGTCTGATCAAGAGATCAATATAAAAGAGATGAGTAACAGTAACAGACCCATTTACTTCCGATCATATGATCTGCAGATACTCAAGGGGACCTGGTTTTTTTTTTTTTTTTTTTTAAAATCCTGAAGGTGTCATATTAAGTCCTTTCCCATCACTGCCCTTGTATCTGAAGGGCTGCAACATGTGTGTGCACATTTGTTTGCATACATGCTCACACTTGCATCAATAATTTAATCTCAAAGTCTTTTTTGACAACCACTCTAAAACCCCATTTTTTTTTATGTTCTTCATTGTAGAAGGTAACTCTCTATAGTCTCCCCTTAATCCCTCATTGGATCTCATAATTCTTGTTTCCTCAGTGATTGCTTTATGTCAGGAAGTCTTTCCCTGGCGGATGACAGACAAAATGGAACTTATATTTAAGGTACATGTCAGAGACACAGCTACCTCAAATTAAATCAGGATATGATCAACTGTCCAGGCAAATGCCTGGGCTTGTCTCTGTTTACAGGAAGTGAGATTTTCAGTATATAGAAGCTGGTGGGAGTGTATGTGTTCATGACTGCTGAACCGTGTAGAGTGCTTTTTGCTTGTGTCTACAAACTCCAGAATATAGCTGATGTGGTGCTTGGCCAGTCAGGGCACCACCATACTGGTCCTCTTTCCTCCACTCCACATAGGACTCTTGCAGGACTCTGGATGACAAGTAGGCACTTTGGGGAGAAGGTGCCAGGGTAGAGTACTGTGTCCGTGGTCAGATGCCTAAGATGCAGACCGGAATTAGGCTCTTCTGAGAAGAAAGCAAACAGAGCAACCAAAAATAGACCAGCGTTGGTCAGGGAGTCTTGAGCCTTTTCAAACCGCAGGGCTGTGTGTTTCCTTACTCCGTGGGATGATGAAGACAGGATACAAGGCCCCAGTCAAGGGCAAGCAGGCACACAAAGGAACCGGGCAAGGGCAGGGGAGAGTAAAAAGTGAAACACAGGCGTAAACGGCTGGTGTCTGGGGCCTCCGTGGACAGTCTTACCCAGGGCACGGTAAGAATAGGTGTCCTTTCTTCAAGTCACCCAGCAGCTCTGTGGCAGAGGTGGGGAATCAAGCCAAGGCCATATCTCAAGGTCCTTGAGGTGAGCTGCAGTCTAGGAAGGAATTTGTTTTCTATGCTCTTGGCTCAGAAATGGAATCAAAAGTAGGAGAGGTACATTGGACATTGAAGCTGTTTGCTCATGAATTAAGCAACCTGATTGCTCTTGCTAGAGATGATCTGAGGTCTTAGCTATTTAGACTTTTTACACTGTTCTAGGAACGTTACGGATCATTATATTTAATCTCACTTATTAAGGGGAGGAGAGCATGGATAGATGGAAAGCATTTTCTCTGGAGCTTGGTCAAACTGTGTTGACAGAGGAAGCGATGAGAGGGGAGATGATAACGTCTTTGACCAAGGGACCAGTGAGACTTTGAAATACTAATATTTGGCATGGTGGACCAGGTGGTGGGGGATGATGCAATTAAGCCTCTCCTGGGAGACATACATTGTAGTGAT